TATTCTGTCTGGATTTCTGGGATGAGGAATTATCATTATTTACATTCATACTAATATCCCCATCTTTATCGCTATTCTGTCATGATTTTTGAGATGAGGCCTTATCATTATTTACATTCAGACTAATATCCTCATCTTTATTGCTATTCTGTCTGGATTTCTGTGATGAGGAGTTATCATTATTTACATTCATACTAATATCCCCATCTTTATCGCTATTCTGTCATGATTTTTGAGATGAGGCCTTATCATTATTTACATTCAGACTAATATCCTCATCTTTATTGCTATTCTGTCTGGATTTCTGTGATGAGTAGTTATCATTATTTACATTCATACTAATATCCCCATCTTTATCGCTATTCTGTCATGATTTTTGAGATGAGGCCTTATCATTATTTACATTCAGACTAATATCCTCATCATTATCGCTATTCTGTCTGGATTTCTGGGATGAGGAATTATCATTATTTACATTCATACTAATATCCCCATCTTTATCGCTATTCTGTCATGATTTTTGAGATGAGGCCTTATCATTATTTACATTCAGACTAATATCCTCATCTTTATTGCTATTCTGTCTGGATTTCTGTGATGAGGAGTTATCATTATTTACATTCATACTAATATCCCCATCTTTATCGCTATTCTGTCATGATTTTTGAGATGAGGCCTTATCATTATTTACATTCAGACTAATATCCTCATCTTTATTTTATTGCTGGTTCTGTCTGGATTTCTGCTATTCTGGATGAGCCTTATCATTATTTACATTCAATTTAATATCCTCATCTTTATTGCTGTTCTGAGTTATCATTATTTACATTCATACTAATATCCCCATCTTTTTATTCGATTTTTGGAGATATTCTGTCATGACTTTTTTAGATGAGTTATTCTGTTTTTTTGAGATCATTATCATTTTACATTCAGACTAATATCCTCATCTTTATTGCTATTCTGTCTGGATTTCTGGGATGAGTAGTTATCATTATTTACATTCATACTAATATCCCCATCTTTATCGCTATTCTGTCATGATTTTTTGAGATGAGGCCTTATCATTATTTACATTCAGATAATCTCATCTTTTATGCTATTTTTGGATTTCTGGATGAGGAATTATCATTATTTACATTCCTAATATCCCCATCTTTATCGCTATTCTGTTATTTTTTGAGGCCTTATCATTATTTACATTCAGACTAATATCCTCATCTTTATTGCTATTCTGTCTGGATTTCTGGGATGAGGAATTATCATTATTTACATTCATACTAATATCCCCATCTTTATCGCTATTCTGTCATGATTTTTTGAGATGAGGCCTTATCATTATTTACATTCAGACTAATATCCTCATCTTTATTGCTATTCTGTCTGGATTTCTGTGATGAGGAGTTATCATTATTTACATTCATACTAATATCCCCATCTTTATCGCTATTCTGTCATGATTTTTGAGATGAGGCCTTATCATTATTTTTTCAGACTAATATCCTCATCATTATCGCTATTCTGTCTGGATTTCTGGGATGAGGAGTTATCATTATTTACATTCATACTAATATCCCCATCTTTATTCGCTATTCTGTCATGATTTTTGAGATGAGGCCTTATCATTATTTACATTCAGACTAATATCCTCATCTTTATCGCTATTTCTGATTTCTGTGATGAGGAATTATCATTATTTACATTCATACTAATATCCCCATCTTTATACTATTCTGATGATTTTTGAGATGAGGCCTTATCATTATTTACATTCAGACTTTATCCTCATCATTTTATTGCTATTCTGTCTGGATTTCTGGGATGAGGAGTTATCATTATTTACATTCATACTAATATCCCCATCTTTATCGCTATTCTGTCATGATTTTTTAGATGAGGGTTTTTATCATTATTTACATTCAGACTAATATCCTCATCTTTATTGCTATTCTGTCTGGATTTCTGTGATGAGTAGTTATCATTATTTACATTCTTTATCGCTATTCTGTCATGATTTTTGAGATGAGGCCTTATCATTATTTACATTCAGACTAATATCCTCATCTTTATCGCTATTCTGTCTTTCTGGGATGAGGAATTATCATTATTTACATTCATACTAATATCCCCATCTTTATCGCTATTCTGTCATGATTTTTTGAGATGAGGCCTTATCATTATTTACATTCAGACTAATATCCTCATCATTTATCTGGATTTCTGTGGATATTCTATTTACATTCATACCTAATATCCCCCATCTTTGGCTATTCTGGGATGATTTTGGAGATGAGGCCTTATCATTATTTACATTTTACATTCATGAGGGTTAATATCCCCATCTTTATCGCTATTCTGTTGATTTTTTAGATGAGGCCTTATCATTATTTACATTCAGACTAATATCCTCATCTTTATTGCTATTCTGTCTGGATTTCTGTGATGAGAAGTTATCATTATTTACATTCATACTAATATCCCCATCTTTATCGCTATTCTGTCATGATTTTTGAGATGAGGCCTTATCATTATTTACATTCAGACTAATATCCTCATCTTTATTGCTATTCTGTCTGGATTTCTGTGATGAGGAATTATCATTATTTTACATTCATACTAATATCCCCATCTTTATCGCTGAGATTCTGTCATGATTTTTTTGATCCTCATTAGGCTATTCTGTATCTGGGATGATTTACATTCAGACTAATATCCCCATCATCTATTTTGATTTTTTGAGATGAGGCCTTAGTTATTCATTTAATTCCCCATCATTATCTATGATTTTTGAGATGAGAAATTATCATTATTTACATTCATACTAATATCCCCATCTTTATTCGCTATTCTGTCATGATTTTTGAGATGAGGGTTATCATTATCCCATTCATACTGGGATAATATCCCCATCTTTATCGCTATTCTGTCATGATTTTTTGAGATGAGGCCTTATCATTATTTACATTCAGACTAATATCCTCATCTTTTATTGCTATTCTGTCTGGATTTCTGTGATGAGGAGTTATCATTATTTACATTCATACTAATATCCCCATCTTTATCGCTATTCTGTCATGATTTTTGAGATGAGGCCTTATCATTATTTACATTCAGACTAATATCCTCATCATTATCGCTATTCTGTCTGGATTTCTGGGATGAGGAGTTATCATTATTTACATTCATACTAATATCCCCATCTTTATCGCTATTCTGTCATGATTTTTGACATGAGGCCTTATCATTATTTACATTCAGACTAATATCCTCATCATTATCGCTATTCTGTCTGGATTTCTGGAATGAGGAGTTATCATTATTTACATTCATACTAATATCCCCATCTTTACTGTCATGATATCCCCATCTTTACTGGAATGAGGAGTTATCATTATTTACATTCATATTCTATTCTTCTATTCTATCATGATTTTTGAGATAAGGCCTTATCATTATTTACATTCAGACTAATATCCTCATCTTTATTGCTATTCTGTCTGGATTTCTGGGATGAGGAATTATCATTATTTACATTCAGACTAATATCCCCATCTTTATTCCTATTCTGTATGGAAATACTGGGAAATGGCGTTATCATTATTTAAATTCTGACTTATATCCCCATCTTTATTGCTATTCTGTCTCTATTTCTGGGAAATGGCCTTATCCTTATTTACATCTACTGTCCTCATCTTTATCATTATTATCTTTTAATTTCTGGGAATAGGATTTTCATTATTTGCATTAGTTGCATACGGACTAGTGTCCCCGTCTTTGTTGTTTTTTATGAAAGCGTTGTGCTCTCCGGCCGTCTTCAGGTGTCTATTGATCCGATAAACTTTCTTTTATTTAATCTACTTTTAGGCACGTCTGATTAAATAAATTACAAACATCATTTTTGCTTATTTTTATGCCTACACTCACAGTATAGAAAAATACTGATACCTAACACAACCATCCTTTAACAAGAAAATAACAAATTCAAACAACAGATCCTCGAAGTAATCCACATTAAAAATTGGAGCCGATACTAACTAGAATTAGCTACGAATACTGTAATAATGTTCTAAAATGCCTATAAAAAGAACAATTTTCACGTTTTAATTCCAGCATAGAAGAAAAATTCGATAGTGGATAATGTTTTCACGTTCTAATGAAGGCCAAAGGAAAACTGTCGGCCGTTGTATTTAAACGCAAAAAAAAAAGAAAAAAAAAAGAAAAAATCAGTAATGGATAGCTACATAGAGTTTTTGCCTTACTAGTTCTACCCCTAATTGAAGATGCCGGAGTATTCTTTTGTCTTGGGGAAACCATATTTAGGATTCTAGATTCGAGTGCCCCAGATCTATTTGCTATATCATTAGCGAGGACATATTCCGTAAGCAGGAAAACAGAGAGTTATGTTTTTTTGCCAAATTGAGGACTGCGTGCCGGAGATTGTTTCTATATCTGGTGAAGAATTTCCATAGAACATGGAGTTGTCAGCAGCACCCCATAGCAGCTGGCTGGGGAAGGGGAGGCAAATTTAGCACAGGTTGACTCCTGGAAGTTGACTGACGGATTAGTCACTTTTGTCACTCTATGAAGCGACGTCACGTGATCCAGGTAACTTCATCTCGACCAAAGGGAGATAATCGCCTTTTGTATCGCTACAACGATATTAGTTTTGGTACATTCTAACAAAATTAATTATAAAATTACGGGAAGAAGAAGGAAGGGGAAGAGAGTTGAAGAAAAAAAGAAAAAGAAAATTAAACATTAGAATATCAGGAAAAAGAAAGAATGAATGAAATAAGGGTAGACAGAATTTTAACTTTAGCACTTCCCAAGACCGCTTCTTCCGGTCTAATTTTTCGCGTTGTCGTTCTTAATTTCTTCGAATAAGAAAACAATTCTACAACGAATCCAGTGATGGCAAAGTTGTGGACGACAGAGTCTCAACAATTGTACCATTAATCTAAAGACACAATTGTTTTTTTCTTCTGGCACGATTGCAAATAATGTCTTTGATTTTTATCGCTGTAATCGCCGCCATTTTCAGTGGCTACTCATTGGGGAGCCGTTATATCATGCCAAGATCGAACAAAGCCCACTGGTCCGCTGGTTGTCAACCATTAATTGTTGCTAATTGTTGTCGCTGTTAAAATTATGGGACGGCTTGTTTTCGACGATAAGCTTCAAATTAGTGAACGATTAGCCGATAAAGAAAGTCGGCCATTTAGACGCGATGACAACAGCGAAGTGAGAGTCTAGAGGGAGGCGCTAATCTCATAGAACTATAAATTTTCTAGCGTGTGTGTATGTAGGCAGATGTGTGTGTTTGCATACTCATACACATAGATGTAGAGGTACACGTAAGTAAACATCGGATAATTATTATGGTCAGCAATCGATCCGTTTTGATTAGAAGCCAACAACAGGTATTTAGTTATATTTGATGTATTAAAGATACAAAGCAATTAATTAGTCTCAGTTTATAGAGGAAAAATAGAGTCTTTTCTTCTCTTATGTCAGATACATTTGTGTTAATAACTGAAAATTGAAAAATACACTTATTTGGTGGTTTCAGAATCCATATCTATCTATCTATCTATCTATCTATCTCAGTCTTCTATGTATGTATTCATGTATCTATCTATCTATTTATCTATCTATTTTCTATGTATGTATATATCTATTTATCTCTGCTATCTATCTATCTATCTATCTATCTATCTATCTATCTATCTATCTATCTATCTATCTATCTATCTATCTATCTCAGACTTCTATCTATCTATCTATCTATCTATCTATCTATCTATCTATCTATCTATCTATCTATCTAAGTCTTCTATGTATATATGTATGTATCTATTTATCTCTCTATCTTCTATGTATGTATATATCTATCAATTTATCTCTGTCTTCTCTCTCCCTCTCTCTCTCTATCTATCTATCTATCTATCTATCTATCTATCTATCTATCTATCTATCTATCTATCTCAGTCTTCTATGCATATATGTATGTATGTATGTATCTATCTATCTTATATGTATGTATATATCTATCTATCTATCTCAGTCTTCTATGTATGTATCTATCTAACTATCTACCTTCTATGTATGTATATATCTATCAATTTATCTCTGTCATCTATCTATCTATCTATCTATCCATCCTATCTATCTATCCATCTATCTATCTATCCATTTCAGTCTTCTATCCATCATATCTATCCATCTATCTATCTATCTATCTATCTATCTCAGTCTTCTATCTATCTATCTATCTATCTATCTATCTATCTATCTATCTATGTATATATCTATCAATTTATCTCTGTCTTCTCTCTCTCTCTATCTATCTATCTATCTATCTATCTATCTATCTATCTATCTATCTATCTATCTCAGTCTTCCATCTATCTATCTATCTATCTATCTATCTATATCTATCTATCTATCTATCTATCTATCTATCTATCTTCTATTTATGTATATATCTATCTATTTATCTCAGTCTTCTATATATGTATGTATGTATGTATGTATGTATGTATGTATGCACGCACGCATGTATGTTTAGGACTTAATCACATCAATGTCCTTTCGAGATGCAGGCTCCCTATCGATTACAATGGAGGAGATTTTTACGTCATGCATATTTAATTTTTCCACCGAATTGCGATATAATTTGCATTAGTAGAAGAGAAAGCAATAAGGAACACTTCCGGTTTTTATGATAGAGATTGTGAAAAGACAAATATATGAAATGCAACAACAACAACAACAATAATAATGATAATAATAATAATTTAAATATTTATGTAAGTGAATTCAAACCGTCTAAACCACAAAGTGTTGAATTTTGCCTGAGTGATTGCCCTGTTGCAGGCTATTTGATATTACTGGTGTGATATTTGATATTACTGGTGTAGTATTTGATATTACTGGTGTGATATTTGATATTACTGGTGTGATATTTGATATTACTGGTGTGAAAACGATCCGAGTAGAAAAAGTAATAAACAACGAGAAGGAATAAACTTAAGGTTTGATTTCCAGAAATAAACACTTTTTTCTGGCAATCAACTCACAGCAAATCTCACATACCTCCAGTGCGGAAATAATAATAATAATCATAATAATAATAATAACAATAATTAGATTAAAACAAAAACTATTAAAATACAAGGATCTTAAAGTGGAAATCTAAAAAAATTAGCACATGAGGGCATCAATAATTTAAGTTGCAGTTGGAGACATTGGATTGATTGGAAAAGGTTCCGATAAACTAATTGAAGGAATTTCTGCTAGCCTTTTCCTTAAAGAAATTTTTAAAAATTGTACTTACAGTTACAGCTCACACATTACGAAGAGCTTTATCTATATAAAATGTGTGTGATGTGAGTTTTTTTTTTTAAATGATCAGTAGAAAATGTCCTGAAGCCATTTCTGTCACTGGTTGGAACCCGGAAGGAAATGTGGATACAACAGAAATCAAAGGAAATAATAAAAATAATAATAATAATAAAAATAATAATACAAAAAATTCAGGAAGTGTATGCTTATTGACATATCAGTACCATCTGAGAGAAAAACCTCCATGGATATTATCGAGAAATTTTCCAAATACAAAGACCTGGAGATTGAGATTAACAAGATGTGGAGAATGAAGACTGAGACTGTACCAATAGTAATCGGAGCACTGGGTCTTGTGAGAAAAGGAATGGACAATTTTAATAACAGTGTCCCAGGTAACATCAACATAAAAATTTTCCAGAAGACCGCCCTACTAGGAACATCCCATATACTAAGAAAAGTGCTATCAGTTATAGAGCCTAAGGACCATAGTTTGGACCCGGATCTACAGGATGCAAAGCAGGAAATATAACATACACAAATAATAATAATAATAATAATAATAATAGTCTTAAAATACATGAATTTCAAAACACATACTCACGGGTTCTTCTCACATCTTGTGTAGATTTCTCTCTAGGCAGTGATCAGAGTTACATATTTTTTTTTATCCTTGATTGCATGTCACTTCATTTGTTTACATCTTCAAAAAAAAACAAAAAAACTTATTGTCTCTTGAAGCCTCTGCCTGAGTTTCCCTCGTTTCTATTTGAGACATTGGGACAACTCGTGCTACATAAAGCAAAAGCGAAACACAACAACGATACTACTACTACTACTACTACTACTAATAATAATAATATTAATAATAATAATGTTAAGAATAAAAGGGAATGTCAAAGTGATTCCAGTGGTGAATAGAGCATATGGTATCAATGCCATTACAACTGTGTGACTTCTTTGACCGGCTGGGGATACCCTAACACGACTTGGAGTCATCCAAAAATTGACTTTTTAGGAAAATGTCATTTGTCAGGTTGACAGATAACTTAATGCATCAGTTGTATTCAAAAACTTACAGCGTGTGACAAAACATAATACCCCACTGAACACAATACACTATCATGAACTATTCCACCTTCGATATATTAATAAAAGCCGCATTCGTACCAATCTCATTGTTTGGGTGTGCTCTTGGATCTTCTTCGAGAGTCGTCCTAAAGCTGGTAACTTGAACATAATTACCCCTTGGCGGTCAAGGTTAAAAAGCAAATCTACCAATTTCAATGAATACGAATCAAATTTCATACCGGATCGATCGTCACCCTGGTCAACAAGGGCCGCTTCCCTCAGAGAGGAACCAGTCTGAGGACGAAAAATCTGGCACTGGAATAAACTCTTTCACAAACACTAGGTCACCAAACCCGGATTATTGCCAACCTTGGACCAAGAGACTCAATACCAAATCAACTAATAAAAAGAAAGCGAACGAAATGGTCTCGCGAAGAGTATCGACAAGTCATGACATCATTCTTCACTGCACTCGAAAACCCAGCAAAGAACACCACCAATCAAACATATCAAATATAGAGAAGTATGGTGGGAAATGATATAAGACCTAACCTCAATCCAAACATGCTTGCCAATGTCCGTAGGGACATCATGCTAAACAACAGACTCTCAAAGACAGAAATAGATAAGATAAAATTAGATATAAGACAAAATACAATGACCCATCATTCAAACTCTAATGAGATGAAAGTAGAAATAAGTAATGTGACAGAGGATGAGGTAAAAACTAAAACAAATGAAATACGAAATAACCTCCCAGGAAATAAAATCAAAGACTCTACCTTAAACACAACCTGCAGTTATCCAGACAATGTCACTGAAGATGACTCCAGGTACATTAAGTTAGAATTCCTTGAAAACCACGAAGCTGAAATCACTGAAGCGAAAAATGACGTCATCCAAGTACTCAGCAGAGTAACTTTCATGCAATTGTCAGACAAAGACCAGCTCCTGAAAATCCATATTACGAAGGAATTTTACAGGGAAACTGGAAAAACACCTATACATATCGAAAGGCCACCATCGATTGATAATGTACAGACATTTTGGGAAAATATTTGGCGCAGCCCGAAGGGAAATAACCCAAATGAAGAATGGATCCGACGTGAATGCTGGATACACCTCTGCAAGAATGAGAAAATATAACCACAGATGATGTTAGACAAGCTCTAACGAAATCCCAAAAATGGAAATCCCCCGGAAATGACAAGGTGTCCAATTTCTGGCTTTATCATCTCACATCTATCCATAAAATCCCTGCAAAAACATTATCAACGCTTGTAAATAATCCCAATAAAATCCCGGAATGGATTACAGAAGGTATTACATACCTCATGCCCAAAACAAGTGAAACAGACGACCCGAAAAATTATAGGCCGATAACATGTCTCTCCACAACGTATAAGTTGATCACGTCTGTCTTGACGAACCCTACTTATTCCTTTTTCGAAACAAACAACATTCTTCCGCTGGAACAGAAGGGATGCAGGAGAGGTTCATATGGCTGCAAAGATCAACTACTGATAAATAAAATGATCCTGGAAAATTGCAGGTGACGACGTAGAAATCTTAGCGCAGCGTGGATTGATTATCGTAAAGCCTTTGATAGTGTTCCACATTCTTGGATCCTTCAGACTTTGGAAATGTACAAAGTCTCCTCTGTGGTATTAAATTTCCTTAAGCACAGCATGGGAATGTGGAACACCAAACTATATCTTAATCACACTAGAGGCACTGCCTTATCCAAACGTCTGAATATCCGACGTGGAATCTTTCAAGGAAACTCTGTGTCACCCCTTCTGTTTTTGTTTGTCCTTAATCCTCTTTACGCATGAACTGAATAACAATAGCTATGGTTACAAAATAAATAAGAAAATATTCAGTCACCTACGCTACATGGATTATCTCCTCAATATTATAAAATACTTCAGTGACGACATAGGTATGGACCTCAGATTAAATATATGTACAAAAGTAACATTCAAGAAAGGTAGAATTGCATAAAAATTTATATAATAATAATAATAATAATAAGTGATTAAATAAGTATAAATCGTAGAGACTTTTTGATTTAGAAATTGTAGAATATAACAGTTGTATTGATAAAGATATTACAGGTAATATTGTTAACATTAAACTCACATTCCTCATAACCATTTAAAGATATTAAGGACGGCCATATTTGCCAAGGTGGGAATATATTTTCTATAACCAATATTTATCGATCGACAGCGTGATAAATTGAGCAGGTCACTAGTCCACATGATTTATAGATACTTATGATTATGTAGACTTAAGCATGAAAAGGAATAAAAAAGAAACCAGTTAAGTACGAAAGGTAACTAGCGTACGGAATTAGGAAAAATGATTTGCTCTTGCTATACTAGGGTGCGTTCGAAAGTAGACGATTTGAAATAAGGAAGCCCAACCTCCCATTCTTTTTGCGACCAGCTTAAATAAAGCTAGAAGATTCAGTCAGAAATAACAGATGTTCGAATTACAATCCGACAACTCGATTAGCCAAATAAAGAAGTGTAGCAAATGAGTCGACTTAAACAGTGTAAGGGACGCAACTCTTTCCGTCTGAAGATGTCTGCAACGCAAAACGATGTACACCAAGCACGGGTGAAATGTTGGTCTGCCAATGTCTCCAAGCAACCTGCTTTTATGGAGCCCAGACACACCTCATTAGCATGTGTGTAACGCGACTTTGCGTGACTGCACGAGACCGTGAATATTAAAAGTCACGGACGCCATTTTGAATCTTTTCTTTCCTTTCTCAACCCACAGGCCAGGAAGATGCGAGAACGTTTGCGAGGTAGGCCGTTTCTATTTTCCCCACACTCCCCCCTGATCTCATGATCACAGAGTTGACAGGGAGGTGGTGATCGCTTGCGCCGGGTACTTCTTCGAAGAGGGACGCTGCGAGCCTCATCGTTGCTTGTGCTCCTGTCTGAGGTCTGAGGGTCGAAAGACACCGCGTCCCTTGGAAGGCTACTGATATCCGAGTCACTGCCTGATGGGGCTGGCGTGAACCAGAGCGATGCCTCACTGGTCTCAGATTCCGATTCGCTCTCATCGTCCAG